CACCTGTTTAGGATCATTCCCTACTTCCTCTAGTCCATAAAGATAGCAGGGTACCACAACATTCTAAAGATCGAGAAAAATATTATGTTAATACATCGGGACGATATTTTTCAAAGATACAGAAAGAGTAATTCCGTATATTTAAAAAATAAATCGATATTTCGCTATACCGAATATCGATATTTTTAATCTTTCAAAAGAGAAGGTGTATAATAAATATCAAACAATATGTATCGATAGCTATCAAGTTTGTCGAAATATTAACAAATTGTTACAAAGATTTATTACTAAGAACTACATGAAAATAAAAATAGCTCAACATAAATAAAGAGAACATTAAAATTGAATTAATAGTGACTGAAATAGTAAAAATAATTTCTATTTCCATTAAAAACAAAAAATCAAACAAACTTATTGCTAAGAAATCAAAATATATGTTACTGCTATTGTAGAATGCAGAAAATGTTCTCATTTTAAGTGATAACCAGTGAAGCGCTTTACTTACAGACAATTATCATTTTCGTATTTTATTTTTTTTTTTTTTTGGATAAATATCAGTATCGAAAGTAAAATTTTAAAATCAATATTTCGCTATATCGGAATATCCCCAACAGCTAAAAGGAACTATTCCCTTAGTAGAACGATCGCTCCCAACTCGTCAAATTTGGAAGTTAGACATGGGTATCTAACAGACGACAACGCAGCACACAGCAGACCTTACAAACCACTTTTAGAAGATCGTATTTTTCGAAAAATCATCGTATTGTTGCCCATTACATCTTAATAATATTTAGAATAAATGAGAGATAAGGTTATAGTTTTCAGTATTTTAAAAAAACCCAACCCAATTCAAACAACCCATGAAAGTTCTTCTGGTCCAGTACTTCGTAAAGAAGTCTGCTTAAATGTCAGCCGTTGAAAACAGAATAAATAGTTATATCTCAGACGGATTCGAATCTATGTCCATTCAGCATAAGAGCTCAGGGCCTTAGCCACTCACTAGCTATATAAGTATTTGTGATTCCGCCTTCATTATTCATGATCAGCCAAACCTATGTTACATACAACATTATCACACAAAATAAAAACAATACCTATTTACATTTTCATATTACTATACTTTTCTATCCCCTAAAAACAATATGTTTATTATTGTGATGGTGCTAGCCTTATCCAGATGATGAGCCGCTCGGATTTCACAAAGTCGGCCCCTAGGGGCAGAACAGACAGACAGACCTATTAGGGCTGGTAGGGCCTTCAAATTGTGCCCTTAGTAACAGGACACCGTACCCTCAGGCCATCGTGTCTTCATTAACCAACTGGTCTGTCCTTATTTTTTTTTCATCTTTTGAAATCGTAGTACACAATCGGTGGCTCATGTCCAAATTATGTTTATAAAAATATATGCCTTAAAAAAGTGTGAGGCAATTTTTCAAAGCAAACATATTATTTGTTATAAATTTATAGTGACAGCGTAACATAAATATAAAACAGCGTATGCCAAGTATTTCCGTTTATTTTATCTGAGTCTGCTTCTGAGGATAGCTAAATCATTTGCATATCCTATAATTTGTATGAACCATTTCTATGTTGGACAGCAACGGCGAGAGTCCATTTCCTTTAGACTTGTTTAAACTTAGAATATGATTTTATAAAAGGTTATAAAAAATGTCAACTTTGAAAGTTATTAATTATTTTAATTACTTAAATGTTAGTTTCAAATTGTGTAGTTTCATTATCTAGAAAATTGTTTTATCCTCACTTTTCTCTTATTTTAGGCTATAAGGGTTTTTCTCAGGCCAGGGGAGAAAATGAGGGATTAATGGCAGAGTTAAAAGCTATCCCTGACCGATATCTAAACGCGAGCTCGTAATTATTTAATTATTTTTAGTTTATCCGGTTGCAGGGCATGGCCTTTTTTTACCGCTCGGTTGTCCCGCTCTTGCTTGATTACCCAGAAAGTATATCAACTAAACAAAATGTAGTACTACGACTCTGGAAAAAGAAAATGCTTTTCTTCATCTTTTCATTTTATTCGTAAATTAACCCTCCGTCGAAATTATTCAGCGAAAAATAAATCTCAAGATCACAATTGAAATAAGACTTTAGAAACGAACTCCTTCAGACAATATCCCCACCAGAGGTAGGAAATTAAAAACCACCCCTAGCTGGAGGACACTCCAGTTCCATCTACTCCACCACCTCGAGACCTGAATCCACCCTCCTTTATTTACGATGGTTCACCGAAGGGTTTATCACTCCCACTTCATGTTATCTTTAAACGTTGATTAATAATTTAATTTATAGTATCCATTACTTTTCTTCAAGTATCATAAATAGAAGTTAAAAAACAATTCGATAGTTGGAGTTTTTTATGGAGTACACTATACTATACTATTACTACACTAAACACTATACTATTTGCCTCTTAATTAATTCTTCACATTTCCAATGATTTATATATAGTTTTTAAATTTAAGAAATGAAGAAATTTTCTAGAAAATCTTGTTATATAAACCTCACTAGCTCTGTATAGGCTGGAGAGTTTCAACTTAAAAAAAAGATTGTATGTGTGTGTCATGTGTATACGTATCTCTAAATACAATACACTTAATACATTATAAAAAATAATACATTGAAAATACTGGGATATGACACCTAAGAGTAAATGTACCAATAAATAGAACTCTGAAATTGTTGAGTTAAGAAAAAAAAAAAAACATATATCAACTGAAATCTTATTACACACATTAAGACCTGGCGAATCTCTTATGTAATATACTTAACCTTCGAAAAACCTCATGTTCATGGAAACAAATGCTTACATGCATGCTTTATGATAAATAATAATTTCACATTGAAAACAAATTGGTTTGAAAATGAACATTAGATATTTATGATTTATTCGTTAGTTCGATTTGAATTTCTTTTAATACTACAATTTATTTTTAATATGTTAGCGTTTCTCATGCTATTTATTCAACATAAACAAAACAAAAATTTCTTTATGAGTAAAATTACATTTTGTCACAACTAAAGACATTATTAATAAGGATACAGTAGTTCGTTCACATTTTAACGTACACTAGATAATAATTTTGGAGTAGAGGTTAAGAGAAATAAATAAGAAGACACGAGCTTCTAGATTTAAATTAATACTAGTTATCAATAAATGAGCATGAGCATGCTAAAGAGCGCAGAGTTTTGAAACTATAAGCATTCCAAATTTATAAGAAAAATGTCCTGTATGCACTATATCTTCCTTCTTTATTTATTTATTTTAATTGTTCAAAATTTAATAAATTATGTTGTGTAAAGGGAATAATGTTAAAAATATATTTCATAATTATAAAAATTTAAGATAGAAAATCACATTTCAATAAAAATTTATAAATCTTTCCAACATTAAATACAAAAAAATGATATGAGCTTAGTTTAAAGGCGGAAGAAGTATGAAAAGACAATGGAAAACAATCATAATTTTAAAAAAAACAAAATATCTCGACCGAAGATAAACCAAAATTGGATTCATGGAACCGCCAAAAATATTTTAACTATCTTGAAGCAACTTAAATATTTCTAAAAAGTTTAATCCAAATAAGTAAAAATTAATTAAACTAGGTGTATAATGCTTAAATCGTTGAGAGAAACAAAATAATCTATGAATCTAACTAAAAATGAAGAATCTCCACATCAGAGTGATCATGCCAATGTACGATAAGACAGCCATGATCTAACCATGCCACCACACCACATATGCCGGAATTGTTCCAGCAATCTTGCGCTGTGAGGATGTGGCGAACACTAATGTTAAGAAACCATCGAATTGTCGGCAATCATTTGGGTTGTGGCGGCCATCAACTAACCTCAATGTTTGCCACAAATCCGAGGTGAGGTTGTACATTCGTATTATTAGAAATTCTAATAATAAAATTTACTTTTCTTTCAATCAATATATACCAGACTTCATTGCTTGTTAAAGCTATGTTACTCTGTACAATCAATGCCAAATGAATGGACAGTTGTACGCTCGCAAACATCATTTACATATTAGATGCCTATGGGATACCATAGTCCTGATTGCAAATCAGTAGAACCGAGCATAGGTTATTTCCTATTTGAAAACCTTCTTTACTTGAGGAGGAAAATACAATAAAATGTAGAAAAAAACAGCAGTAATTATAAAATTAAAAATTTAATTATAAATTAAAAACGCAGCAAATTATTTCACAATGGTTTTTTATTTCCAAACAATTATACATCTAAAGTAACATTACCTTCCGAGTTACAAAGAAAAAAAAACAAGAGGTGATTCCAATTATTGGACTAAACTGTTTTTCTTTAATCATTAGTAATATGCTAAAAAAAATAGCATTAGTTCAGTAACACATTTAAAATTTAAAAACCAAACCAAGGATATAACTTTTGGGGTAGAACACATAAAAAAAAAACCCGGAGACCATATCTTTGCTCCTAATTGTCCGATTTTAACGATTCTTTTTTTGTTTTTTAGGAAATTTCGTAAACTTTTAAAAAACCATATCTACAAAAGTAAACTTTCGATTATTCGGAATTAATTTACCATCCCTCGTAACTTTTTTTCCAGCTTTTTTTCGTTGAAGTATGTTATATAGATGAATTTAAAGGGCGTCGAGAAAATGACTTTAGCGAAGTTTCATTGGAATCTGTTCATTCGTTTAGGAGCTACAGTCTATAGCAACGCAGGTTTTTCGGCCGCCATTTTGTAAGTTAAAGGCAGAGAGTAATGTCGATGAAGGAGGATCATCCTCGGGTGACCTCTGATTTTATATCAAAATTTGAAAAAATTGGTCCAGTAGTTTTAGAGAAAATGCGCGGAATTTTTTGGTCGATCACAATGTTTCATTATTGAAAATAATAAATCAAAAGCTAATTATAATAAAATATAACTATTGAAGGTTGGAGGCAAAAACAAATCAATTTGTTCCGTATTTGTTTTTATAAAGCAATATAAATGGTACCTGTTCTATGGCCCTGGGAGATGGTGGGAAGGCAGGCTTAGTGGGCGGCGGTGGGCGTGCAGGCGGGTCCAACCCCTGCATGTATGGCTCCAGGAAGGCATCCCCTCTGAAACAATAATAATAACATTAAATAATAGGTAATTATAATACAGAGATATAACATTCTTATGATAGTATGATTAGAGAAAATACCACGACGTTCGTCAACACTTAATAAAATACAGGAAGTGTGAACTCAAGGAAAGACAAGCATATGTAGTCAAATAGCAAAATTAATGTAAACTAGTAGGCCCGTGCGAAAAATTCGCACAGCATATTGTTATCAAATGCCAGATTAATAAGAAAATCAAATAATGTAACATATAAACATAAAGAAATCAAATGTTACTTTATCGATAAATATAATCGACAAAGCATACAAAAATTAATTTAAATCTTCATTTTTGTTTGGAACCAACATGCTTACAAATTTCAATAAGCTGTATCTTTGCTAAAAATTGTCCGATTGGACTATTTTGCCCGCCTGAAGGGGAAGGAAGGAAGCCTTCGAATTTGGTGGCTCAATCTTGAGATTTGGTGAAAAATTAACGATGATATGGCTTGCCGATCAAAAACACCATCGATAAATAATATAAACTCCTCCTCTCTCGATCATAGAGACCTCAAGTCGATGAAATTAGAAATGTATTCAATGACAGTACTACAATTAATGTAATGTTGTGTGGATGCGAACCCTACTATGCCTTGTGTTATCTCGAAAATAGTACGTTTTTGTCTTAGAAACGTAGGATCCTATCCGAGTCTTGCTGTATGAATCAAAATCTTCAAGATCCAATTTGTCCCGTATCGATCTACAGACCTACCACCGTTCCAGTATTGGAGCCTAGCAAAATGTTTGCATCGACTTTATTTATTTTGGAAAGAAAAACAAAAGTGGAGAATACGATTCGCTAACCCCCCGCGAAATTCTGAATCCAACGGCATCCCATTCATGGTATTTGAACATGATAGGAGCTTATATTTGGTACAAAACCGATTTCGAGACTTACTGTAATAATATATGTCGGGATACTGGTTTTCTCCCTCACATGGTTTAAGATAAGGCAACAAGTGTTCTCATAAGTCGGCCCCAATTACTTTGAAAATTTGTCCCTACTAATCTTTATTTATAGTGAATATAAACGATACTTATTTGAAGCTGTCCTTTAGTAATTACCTACATCATTTTAAATTAATTAATGTTTATGGTTACTGCTCCATTATAAGGAGTAGTAAGACGTTATAAAGCCATCCTAAAATATGGTGCATTTAACGTTAATATTATTTTCAAATCAGAGCAGCAGTAATTAAAATTAGCGCATTTAAATAAATTCTTCAGATATTTTAGAATCAAGTCGATCCTTAATTCAGCATAAATCGCAGTCTATCGGTAATAAATTGAATAATAGAATAAATTGAGACAAGAAACTGCTAAACTTTTTCGGCTACTTCAACATTTATTAGATAAGCGCTCTAAACTACCAATGAACTATAAAATATTCATTTAACTATAATAAGGACAATTTTGACTTATGGAGTCGAGCTTTGTGGTTTTACTAAACCATCAAATTCCTTTTATATCCAATCCTTACTAGCCAAAATCCTGCGAAATCCTCAATGCTTCCTACTTTATCATAAATTAAATCGTCCTTAATGACCTTAATGCCCCAGATGTTACAGCCCAATCCAGATATCACTTGTTTCTAACTTTGCATCCTCTTTGATTCCTGGCAATGCTCCCAGGCTTCTGAAAAGAAGATAGCCTCGAGACCTTCTAATATAGAACTATAAATGGAATGCTACCAATAGGTAGTTTCTCTTCAAGTTATACATGTCATATTAAAAATTCAAATTTACTTGTTGTATGGTTAGCTAATATAGTGTTAAATTTGAATAAATATATTATAAAAAACATATATAAATTAAAATTAAAATAAAGTAGAGATAACATTACATAGTCTTATGTAATATCTTTACATAATATATTTTAAAAGGTTCCAGTTGGGTCTTAGAGATACATTAATATTTGATGGATGCCCGGAAAAATTATTCCCAGGGACCCGAGAATATATCCTTAGTTTCTCTTCATAGCCATGTCCATTTATCAGGATCTCAATAGCGATGGAACTAAAGAGACGCACTGAATATCATCGGTGTTTACAATCGAGTATACGAACGATCTGATAGATTTCCGATTCCATCAATGAGCTCAGAGCTCAGTTCATAACTTTTCCTATAGATTAGGAAAGATAAAAAGATCTTTCTGAAAAATTATAAAGATCTGTTATAAAATCTGTTTTCTCTTATCTATATTCTTGACTGTATGGAGTCGAGAAACTGCAGATAAGGGAGACAAGTTTAGAGACCGCTGATGAGATTTCACCCTGCAATGCAGATCCTGCTGCTGCAATCAAACCTGGTCCAATAATTAGCAGTACTGAATGCATCTCCTTAGCCACTTCCGCTTCATCATTCAAGAGCATCGTTTAATTTCCGGAACATTTCCTATTTATAAGATGAATTTACATTATTATCAAAAGTCATCCTTTACGTGATTAGATGAAGAGAATCACGGAAAGTTTGTTTCTTTATTTAGGCTTTAAGGCGTAAAACCTTAGGGTCATCGACGCCTGTGAGTCGGTTATATTTGTAAACTTCACGGAAAGCTTTACTGCTTCAAGATAAAGGAAAAAACTATATAACCTTTATTATCATCTTTAATCGATCTATGAAGTCAAAATTGATAGCATAAAGTGAATTCGGATATCCGGATATATTCTATAATCGGATTCCGGTCATGGGATACATTCAGGGGATATCTACTTACAAAAAATAGGGGTCAGGTTTCCGAAACCTTTGAGGACAGCACCTGCTTTTTTAAGCACTTACATCGTAACAATATGAAGAGGCAAATGGCAAGGGTATATTTTAAGTATTTTAATAATTATTTGAACAGCAGATACAAATAATCTTCTCGTATAAGCGCTGAAAACATACGTTTTTGAAGTTACTTTTCTTTTAAATTGTCCAATATTTACCGTCATGAGGTGAAATGATTACTCCGTAGTGGATCTTTTAAAAATAAGTTTGGAAATCGGAAGATTCGAACTAGTAACAAGTTTAAGTCATTACTATTAGTTAACTGTTAAAGACTACACCAATGACGTTTTAGTATCTTTTTACGAAAGTCCGATTATACATAATTTTTTTTCTCTTTTATTCCACATGTTTGGATTGAAACATCTGTTTATATATATTTAAAATTTATGAATGAATATCAGAATATTTATTATCTAATATGAAGTAAATTCTATAAAATTTATAATTGTGGAAGATGGTTGACTGGGTCTTTCGACGCTTCTTCGTAAGACAAGTCCTGATGAAGGCTTGAACCTTGGGCCGAAACGTCGGCAAATATATAAATAAATATAATTATTTATTTTTACTATTTTTTTAAATATATATAAGTGCACCTTCATTCAGATTGTGTATTCTGAGAATACGATGGAAATAATTTTATACAAAACCTATCATTGTTCTAAAAATATACACACATAATTGTTGGAATATTTCGCTCTAATTGCAATAACAGTTGTACAAGGAAACAGAAACGACCGAGACAAAATATTCCAAAATGATTTGCAAGAAATGTGGAAGAGAAAATGGACCGATTATTCCGGACCATTAACCGAAGCAGGAAATTTGATCAATTGAGTAAGGAGCAAGAACGGCCAATTGGTTTCCACTTGCGACATTACGTCCTTCGGTTAGGAAAGTCTTTTTAACAACTGAAGAAATCTGCGGCGGTAATGGATGGCTTCTTTGAGCAGCGCCGTTTTAACTTGAGTCTTCTAATGGCTTGATATTTCTAATGACAAGCATTGCATACACTGAAATTTCTTTATAATTCTTGACTAATGGTTTTAATGATATTATATCATTATTTTTCCTTTGGTAACAATCACCGAATTAATGCAATAGAATATGTGAAATATATACATATTAGCCAGGCTCACCTGTCATGGCTTTGACCGCTCTATAAATAGAGAACTGAAAGTTTTGCAAAGTATGCAAGTGATTACTGTCCTTATTTTACTACTATTATAGTAGTATGTAACTTCTTTTGTTTTATTTCTTTAATTTTATATATTTATTTTTAGAAGGATTGTGTATAATTATTATTACTATTGCTTATTGGCCAAGAATGAGGTAGATTGTAATATTTCGTAATAAAAAAAAATTAAAAAAAAGTAATACCCGCATAATTCTTACAATGATAGAAAAATGCATTTAGCACACAGATAAATCTATTTTTATAATATATACATATATATATATATATATATATATATATATATATATATATATATATATATATATATATATATATATATAGATAGATAGATAGATAGAAAAAAAAACTTTATTCTGGGACTAAGTCCCTTCAGAATAACAATAATGTACAAAATAATAGAATATTACTGGCCTGAACGTTGAAACAATAAATAAAATTGATAAAATAAAATAAAAAGTAAAGAAAATCTTAGGTGCACAAGCTATATACAAACAGATAAAATTATGCATAGAGCATTTAAAATTATGAACAAAACAATTAAAACTATGAACGAATCACTTGAACTATGAACAAAATTATATTTAAGGGTTGAACAACATAAACATACACTTTGAGAAATGAAGAACGAAAAAGAGATACAATGAGTTCATTTCATAAAAAAAAAAAAAAAAAACTTTACTTGAATATATATATAAAAATAAACAGTTACTTATAATTGAATAAAAAAAAAATATATAAAAAAAATGTATGTATTGAAATTCCTACGTCGATAGTAGGAAATGCATGTACTATCTATTACCAAGTGTTATGATAATTTATGTTATATATGATATATATATATATATATATAACATTGTTTCAATATATGTACATGTTTACAATTATTGCAATATGTACAATATTATGTTAGTTCTCTCTATAGATTTTCACATAGGATCTTTTATTGTAATAATATTATGACAACACGCATACAATATATCAATAAGAAAACAATGTTTTTTATTTTTTAAGTCCGATGTTTGCCGAAAAACGGGACACACATATCGCGAAAAAAGAATAACTCTAAATCGAAGAATAAGACTTTTACATTCCCTTCTCCGGAAACACTAAAAACTATAACTTACTCAGTTATTGAACACTTGCACTTAATTACTAAAACCTATTTGGATCTACCCACACAGATATTTGGAACAGCTAAAAGGACTTACATTATTAAATTTCAAGCAAACACATTCAGGACATCTACAAAAGCACATTGGTATGTTAGCAACATAACCTTTAACACTGACCTTCACATACCCTTATTTAGGGAGGACATTACAAACGATGCCATGAAAAATTGCAAGGATAAAAAAAATACAGACATATTCATAATTGACATGGCTACAACAGGCAAACCAGGTAAGGTCCATAGAAGGCTGAAGAGGAGCTGGATGAGAGACCTCATCATTTAACAGTTAAGGTAGATATCATGCCAGGATGTATGGCTGTGTGTACTACCCCCCCATCATGCCTCCCATTTCGTTGTATCTCATAATACTATCATTTATTTCACTAATTTTTATTAATATTTTTCAAAGGTGTGAATAAAAACTATAAATTAAAAAGAAATTAAGAGAATAATTGTTCAGGGATATAAAACTTAGAGTTGAAGTAGCAATGGCCATTTAGGTTATTATACGATCATATAATGCCAATAACACTCAAGCTTTTAAGGATCACATCATAAATACACAGACTATGGTGTCAACAGCCATTCGAAATCCAGGAGCCATAAAGCTCGTGGGGTCGAGCATAACCTGGGGTCCCGGCAGGGATGTCGTTAGCAGGCCACCACCGCTGGTCCTTTTATAGTCAAAGTTGGAAATGACATCGATCTGGAGTTTGGGGTCTCTGTTATCGTTGGACATTATGTCCGGATGTTCGTGACTGCAATCTCGATGCCTTGAGGTCCCTGTACAATGGAAGCTCGATGAGAGACCCGGGTTGCTGTTATGACTAGGAATATGGAAGAGTGCAGAGGATGCACTTCGAGGAAGCAATGCAAAGAAATCTTTGCTGACTTTAACTTTAAAGAAATGGCGAGCTTTTTGCAGAATTAGATGAAAATATAATAATAAACCTATTGGTAAACAAACTAATAACATATTAGTTCAGCAAGTTAATTATGTTTTAAATTATTAATTAGATACCAACGTCATTGATTAAGGATATAAACTTAATTTCCTGAGGTAATATTATTCAATTACATGAGTTGCAAAACAATGATTCTAAAATGCAATAGAAAATATATGAGGAACATACTGTTCAAAAGCCAAGCTCATACTTAAAAAATAAAAGTATGAGCAAGTATTCTTTCATTGAACATAGGAACAAGATGTCTTGATAATAATAATAATACCAATAAAATATACTTTTAAAAATATCTGCCAAGTTTAGTTCCCTCTTCAATCCTATTGATTAATAAACGTTATTATTTATTTCGAAATGTTTCATAAAAATTATTTATTCTATTTCATTGGCCGTGGGGCGATCCTGGGTAGGTAGACTCTCGTTGGGCACGCCCAGTCTCTATAAAATAATTAATTAAGGGAAAAAACCTGACGGTTGAGCGTGATCTCGGTCAAATCACCTCCTTGCACAACCGTAGACCAAGAAACAGTGTTTGCCCTAAATAGTACTGAGCCCAAGACCCTTCATGAGTTTTAACGTCACAGCTGTTAACTTATAAACTAATAAATTTCTGCTAACATAAACTATCAGGGGTACAATTTTATCCCGCATTTGTCTGCATGTAATGTGTAAAAAAATATGGATACGGATATAAGAATACACTTTACTAATATATTTCTACTTGGAAATTAAACATAACATTTGAACAAAAAAAGTTTAATAGATTGCATTAAGTTTAAAAACTTCATTAACATCCTACTACCAACCACATTTCTTAGCCATTATATCCTTAAAAATTATGATACATTTTCGGAAATGTTATGAATGTCATACTTGACGTTCAGTAAGTTATTCCTTTTCTATACAACGAGCAACTTTTGAAAAATAGGAGCATCAATAAATGTACGTTTGCACTTCCAGCCAAAGGAGGGGGAAGGAATTTAATAAAATTGATACATAATTGATCACCTTCTAAATTTATGCACCAATCCCTGATTTCTCTTCAACTTTGAGCCGAATCGAAAAATCCAATTTCAAAATATAATTATTGAAAGAAGGAATTATTTAAAATTTATACAACACCATTTTTTCGCAATTCACACACTTTCTACTTAAAGCTCAATCATAATCGTTTTTGAAATATTGGCCTACCGAAGAAAATATATTGGCGAAAGTAGAGGATAGAATTTGATATGACGCCATCTAGCTACCAACATTGTCTGTAAATTTGATCAATAACGGTTTAGCCACTGGCTTGCAATACCAGTGACGCGGCTGGCAGAGAAGCACTGGGATCTCCTGGAGTCCTGCTTTGACTTCCACATTTGGGGGTACAAAGCTTGATTCAGAGTCTCCTGAGCCAATGTAAATATTGTACATAGGTGTGATTGTGTTTTATTTATTTTATTATCATTCGGTTTAATCTGTTATTTTATGTTGTATATTATTTTATCTTTTTGTTTATCTGTATATTTTTTTTTCTTATTTTTTTACTTCAAATGGATTTGATAACAGAGAACGTAAAACACGAGTGGAGAATGTTAGATTCTGAGAACATAAAATGTTTAACATGTAATCGTATCAATGCAAAGTTTGCCAATCGATGATAGCGAGGAAGTAAAATATTTGGAACAATATTAGGGAACATTAGAAAAATTAACAGAAAAACATATTGAGCCTCTCCAATCTCATAAAATCCAAATCAATGTTTCACCAATTCAGGCATCGTTTGATAAAATAACTTCTTGATTTTTATAGAAGAAAACTTGAGAAACTTTCTGGTAACAAAACAACCGTTACTAAACACCTCAATTGCGATCGACAAAGTGAAAAAGCTAGAAAAATGGGTTCCTCACAAATTGTACATGTGCTCGCAAAAATCTATGAAGTGCGCCTTCTGCATAAAGAAGTGTTTAGCATACTTTTTTCGGGACAGGACCTTTACTTGTGACATAAACCTGATTCTTGACAGATAGCGGCACACTTTTCGGCCAGCAGTTTGCTTAAAAAAGAAGTTAAAATTTTCTGAAGTGACAAGAAATCTAGAACAGACTTTTGTTTTAAATATTTGGTGAACTTTGTAATAAATAATTTGATATATGATATATTTTTTAAATCTCATTGATACCGCTTAAATATAGGGAACGAAAAGTATTAATTAATTAATTACGTAACTTGAGGCAGGAGATCTCGAGTAGGACGTAGCAAAATTTACGGGAGCTTGAAAATGTGGCTTTTCCACTCACCCTGCTCTTTCTCCTCCCCCCCCCCCCCCTTATCTCTCCCTAACCGAGTTTTTCATACAACCTAAGCCCTCTTACAAACAAGCAAATTTATAACTCGAAATCTCTAGAAAGCAACTTTTAATAATTCATGAAATTTTACGACTACAGAGATTCAATTTTTATTTACTTATACGGCATAATTATAAGATGCTAGGGTATTTGTCATTTATTTTAACTATCTTCTCAACCAGACCTTGACATAAAGTATTTTATTTATTATTTTAACATACAGTTTTTAAATTAACATATATTTTGCGTTTTTACAAATACGACATGTTTTAATTAAAAAGTATTCAAATTGTTTTCAGAAAAAGTATTTATAGTACAAAATACCAGAAGTATCTTGTATTTTGAATAAATATAATCATAATGATATGGAGATGGTTGACCATGGATTCAATTTCACAAGAAATTAGTCGGGGTGCAGTAAAAAAAAAAAAAACACTATATTTTACAATAGTATATTTTATTGTATTGTCCAACTTTTCGACCATATAGCCTTCAACAATGTCTGACTGAATACCCTGAGGAAGACCTACATAGTTAGAAACGGTGGACAATACAATAAAATATGGTATATTTTTTTACCACACCTCCGACTAATTTCTTGTGAAAAATTATCATACTTTGATATCTATCCATAACCAATATTTCGGCATTTCGTCTACATCATTTATTAAGCTCTGAAACATTTTAACTAGAATAAGGTTGAAATTACATGAATATTAATAAAATAATTTTGAGTTCTTAGAAAAGTTACTAATTGTGTTGAAGGCATAACATGTGAAAATTGTGAAATTCAATAATGCATTGTAATGCAAAAATTGTAGATGTCACTTTTATAATATTCAAAACAATCAAGTATAACTCATATAAAAAATATATGCGTTAGAATATTTTACTGAATTTTCACATTACGTCTGTAGTTGAACACACACAATAAGTAAATTTTCTGAGAACTCAATATTAATTTAGTTCATTAATATTAATGTAATTTCAACGTTATTATTGTAAAAATATTTAGAATTTAATGAAAATGATGTAAGCGAAATTCCGAGATATTGGTCAAGACGTTAACATTAATATTCGGGGATATATTAACGGAGGATAGAAACGTTTCCTGTGAATTAAATGATTTGGAATTAGCCCTAAGAAAGGATCAAGGAATCAGAGTAACATTGAAATGTGGAATAACAAACAGGCGCAGACCGCCTTGATCTGACAATGGACTACAAGACCTAACCGGGAACAAAGGGTTCGGTGTGTCAATGGTGGGATTGTGTTCCTGCAATGGGTACCTGAGGGATGGCTGTCGAAACCCCTGTCCTTTGGCTACAAGGGGGGGCCATTGTTGGGCATTGGGTCTCTTCCAGTCCTATTAATTACGGCCCCAACAATAATTGGAAATTATCGAATAGACAAGCAGGTCTAACAGAGCACTGTGAGGAGGTACGAAACTGAACTTTATGATTTAAACTTACACCATTACAAACAATAAGAACATCACACGAAAATGGAGAGGTCCACATCGGAATGACTCACAAAATCTTTGGATATGCAGATGACATAGTTGTCCTTAGAAGTAATCGTTCTACAAGTAAATGAAGACAAAACAAAATATATGATAATAAGCCGAAAATTCCACCCCAATAACAGGATCTATTTAGAAGGGGAAATCGTTCCCGAGAGTAGACAAATTCATATACCTCGAATCCACGATGACCTCAATGAAGTAAATGAGTAATAACCAACGGCTAGAAATAGACCAGCGTTAAACAATTTCTTCTACCTTACAAAGATGTTGAAATCCCAAAAAAATCTCCAATTAAGGGTGTGCAACTATTATGACAGAGCCTGTACTAATGTATAGCTGTGGGACTTGGACACTAAAAAGCGCCCTAGAAAAATTTATTGAAAGATCTGAGAGAAAAATCCTCCGTACGATAACCGGAGCGATCTGGGATCAGAGCACTAACACATGGAGAAGAAAAACCAATAAAGAGCTGATAACAGAAACTGGTCAATCGATATCTCATGATATGAAGAAACGAAGGTTAAGTCGGGAGGGACATATAGCTGTATGAATATTAATTGAAGGAATGTTTTAAACTAGATAACCGTTTAGTCATGAAGCAAATCCAGCTTGAAAATGAATTTGTTTAGGGACAGAAAAAAAAAAAAATTCTGTTGTTTGGCAGATTACCGGAAAACGAGAATTGTTGATGTTATTAGTAGCCATCAATCGATTCGAGGATTACTAATCGACAGAGAATAAACATTGTCATGGATATTAAGCCATCGCAACAGTAAAATCTCACGTCGGTGACCAGCAAATACTGGAGTTTGCCCGAAGATGTGCAAACCATAGTTTGTCAGGGATTCTGAATAATACCCCACTGATCGATGTTTTTGATAGTAATGACCAAATAATAAGCCTATTGTTCAGTTTTCAGTTGGGACGTTATTTTATTTGTCAAGCTCCTTCACAGTGTGCGTCAATCTTTACAATGAAACTTAATTGAAATTGAACGAAAATTTCACCAGAGCTACGAGCATTTAATTTTCGTACTGAAATAAAACGTAATAAATGAATTGAAATGACTCTTATACATTTGGCATTACTAAAAAAGAAAAAAATAATAGATAATCCATTAAAGAAAACAATAATGAAATATTACAAAAAAAAGAAAATGATATACTCTTATGTGTATTTTTAAAATCTCTAGAAAAAAATATACTAATACAGAAAAAATAAAGAGAAGTACACACACAAAAATTAACTAGCCTACGTGGCGTAAGGATGAGATAAAAGAAATTTTAGGTTAATTTAGTCACGAATAAAACCATCACTTTCAAAGATATTCAACAAAATATAAGTAAAAAACTTGTTTCAGTCACATTAATTATGCAAATTGTTATAAATCATTAAATATATTATAGGCGTTTTGTTGAATGCTGAAAATAATTTTTTGTTGCGTAATTTTTGGAAATAAGCCAAATAAGTTGTTAAATAAGTTATTTATAAAAATGTTTTTAAAAAATCACATTTTAATAGGATAAGTTATCACCCAACGGATCCTGGAATTTCCTTTTTTCCCGAAATGCCATAATATATTCAGTTTTTCAAATATCTTGCTTAAATTGATAGTTTCTCAGGATTTTTGTGCCTTTTGCCTGTTGCACTTTGCGACATCGTACGAGTTTATTGTAATGTTGGTGTATTGTCTGCTTACGCTATTAAGTCATTGCATAATATGATCATTATAAGTCTCAGTTATTAATTATTATACTCATATTATTACCGAAAAAAATTAAATCATTGTTTTAAAACATAATAGTGATACTGCAATGTGCATTGGTAATTCACATCAATACGTAAAATTTAAAATAAAAATATTTCCTTAAAGTAAAAAAAAAAGAAGAAAATTAAATGGGAAAGAGTTTTTAAAGACAAGATAAAGGGGGGAAAACAACGAAGACCAATCAAGAAGTTTAAAATGAACATAGACTTCCCTAATTCGATGAAAAAGAAAATATCCGTCCATCGAGGGTCGTCAAAAGAAAACTCTTGCCGTGAAGAAAACTTTTACAAAGTGCCTGGATTTCCCAGTCATGCGGATAATTACCAAGTACTTTGTTTAGGGCAGTATCCTTTTGATCTTGGAGGCTGAGATTTGAGAAAATTATACTTGTGAATGTATTAGCAATGTGTATAATAATATCGATTATATTAACCAGAATTTTATGACGAGAATAAACCTTTGTAAATCTAAATGAAGCAGTATTAACTCGTATCGTATAAATATTATAAATTTTTGTTCGTTCGTGGCTTGTAACAGTAAGGTTTAAGGATTCTATAATGAGAACTTGGTTGGGGTGTTCAGTGAATGAAAGAACAAACTAAAAATAAATAAATCATATTTTTTGTTGTCCTCTTTACCGACGTTTCGGTCAAAGTTTATAAGAACGATCCGCTCCAAATATTTCAGACAAATTTTAAGATCTGTGGAAGTATTATAATTGTATTGGTAATCACAGTCAAAATTTTCTATTAAAAGCTCAATTTTTATTTCAAAAAGTGCAATTTATATATTAGTATATATATTATAAATACCAAAGAAGTAAAAATCAGGTATTTAGATTATTTTTAAATAATTAAATTAAATTCTTGGTACTTAAGACAGCCGGTCACCATGGAAACTAACTTTTTATCTCGTGTAACCTCTTTTTATCACCCGTCTCTGCTTGGTTACTTGTGAGTGCTATACAGGTCGACTAAAAAAATTGGAGGTCCTGGAAAAGTTATTGAAATAGACGCCTTTTATTGAATTTTTTTTTTCTGAAAGAAAAATCATGTAGGAAAAGTGATCTCTAAATAATAAATGTTTGGCGGAGTTTGTCGAAAAACAGACGAGTGTTTCATTGTTAAAATAAAATATAGAAAAGCAACAATTCTATTAGAATATATATTAAAATAACATAGAAGAGAGAACTACTGGATCTGATTGCTGGAAAGGATATAGCATCAAACAACTAAATCAAGCAAAGTACAACCATTTCTAGGTGAATCACCAGTATAACGTAGTCGATTCTTCAAGTGAGTCCATACTCAACACATAAAACGATTATGGGGCTCAGCTAAGTGGAGAAATAAAAAGCATCAAGGACCTGCGAGGCAACACCTGGATTCCTATTTATGTGAATTTTTGTGGCGACAAGAGGATTCGTTCCTTGCTATTTTAAATAGCATTGAGCTAATTTGTCTCCCAAAATAAATAAAATAAAAGTGTTTAGTTATTATTACATTCCTTTTTGTCTATTTCAATTTCCATAAATGTAAATAAGAAGGTAGGTACTATCAGTATCAGAATTATCAGTGTTCAGGTTATAAACAATGGCGGATAGCAGTCCGTAGCGACCGGCTGACTCACAAGTACCCAATTCATTATTGAGAAATATTACAGTCTGTCACATTCAAGGACTAGTAATCGTATTTATTGTGCATAAAGTAGCTCATTAGCATTCTATGTAGAAAATATAAAAATAACTACACATCAAAATAATTCTACTAAAAGAAAGAAAAAAAAATAAACTTAATTTTTTTAAATAATAAAAATAAAATAAACCTAGATTTCGCTTTAAACAAATTCCCTGAAGTTCAAATCCTTTATCATCGCAGACGGAGTGTTTAAACCTTATCCCGAGAGTATTAAATTATTGTGGTTGGTCTAAATTAAGGACTCTGAAAAAAAGGCTATAACTATAAATATTTTTCGATGGTAAACAAGAAAGAACATAACTCCAGTAAAAGATATTCAGCCGAGAGAGACATTGGTCACGCTAGGAGAACCACTTGTGATCATTTACGACTGCCCATAAAACTCTTAACCTAATACATCAACGACCATAAAACAGAAGAACCGACTCTAAAACGGTACAGATGTAACCTATCCACTGTTTTTTTTTTCCTTTCCCCTTCTTTTCTGCCTCCTTGGTCGACATAATAAAAAGGCGGAAATTAGAAAAGGAGCTGGTCCTTGGAGATTGTTCAATTCCATTTTATAGGAGCGTTTATAGGAGCCGAGATGGCCTGGTTAAGACGGAAGCAGCAACAGGTACCGGAACAATTGGACAGCTACATCCGGCACAGGTACAAACCGGTGCCTGGTTCTGGATTCAATGGGCTGTGGATGGGACGGTTTGATATGGCGGTGAGGCGGGCGGCTTTGATCTGAGTCCGGTCCGTTTGGCATGGCCATATTGTCCATTTATCGGGCTGTTAATTTAATGGCTACTCACCCCTAAATCAAAATGATATAGAAAGGGAAATACATAATAGATAAATTTAATGTAACAATTTTTGCTGGGAACATGGTTACTTGTAGGTGCCAGAATATAAAATCACATCATTTATTTATACAACTTGGGATGATTCTCAAGTTTTTCCCAAATAAACCTCATCTTAATTAATATGGACATAAATATTATTAAACGAGGAATTATTCAAATTCAACGACGTGTCGAGATCATTTGCTCATTATCAAATCATCTCTAATTATTAAAATTTTGGTAAATTCCCTCACATTTTTGTCTACCACTCGATCTATAATTGTAGACAACTCTTTAAAATTTCCCCCATACTCTGTCCTATGACCACCATCCTTGTCCATAATATTCTGCGTATATCTAGCTACCAAAGTAGTGTTTTTCAAGAGCACTTAATGCTCTTATATATGGTTTCTTCAAGCTCAAACGCTCTCTTAATACAGTTTTATCAATAACAAACTCTAGTTTCTTTAAAGTAAATTTTGTCTATATAAGAGTGAAGTACTTAGTAGCTATAAATGAAGATTTTTTTATTGCAATTGCTTCCTATTCCAGAAAACATGTGACTTACTTGAAAAAAATTTGAATTTCCTACTTTTCTGCAGAAAATCGGACCATTGTTTATATGGACTTTTTTGTAGCTCTCGAGATCTAGTACCACCTCTCTAAATATTTCCTTCTACTTACGCGACATCCTAGAAAAAAATGTAAAATAAACGAGTAAATTTCCGTGAGGTAACTCTTAGGCCATAATCAGATATTTACGTGACACCATCAGTATAACCCCGTCATGGGCCATTGATAATTTTTAGACAGTTTATAAATTTTATCATAATACTTTTATAATTAATCCAATATCTTTTTCTTCATTCATCAACGGGTGAACAACTTTCTTTATAAATAAATGCATAATGATAAGATGCCTTGAGCGTGGGTGATCCTAACGGGAGGAGTTTCCTGTTTGTGATGCCTGCCAGTGAAGTCTTAATAGCCAAGGCTAGGACAACTTCCCTCTATTAAATTATTTCCATAATTTAGGAATTAATTAGTTCATTTCCCACGCACAGCAATGTTATTTCATCGACTATGATAAGGAAATTACAAATAAGATTTTTTGTTTATATGCAGGTAAGTTAAAATAAGTGAATTTTTACATCCATTGGAAATACCTAAAATCTTGATGAGTATACTAATAGTATAAATAATGCAATCCAACTTTGTTTGTTATAAACATGTTTCAATAAGTTTGGTAAATTTTCAAACATTCAACTGATGTTTGATCATAGACCAAGCTTATTTTAAAATTTAATCAATACTGGGCCAAATTTTATGCTGAGGAGACAAGGTATCCCCGAAACGCAAAAATAAAAATAATAAATACTGTAAATTAAGAGTGTTTTTTTTTATTATTAAATTATACCTATGGGCAAGAAGTGAGAAGAAAATAACTATGTTTCATGTTATAAAGGATTAACCTAATCCATGGAAATAAACGTTATTATAAGAAAATTGTTTTTATTGATAACAATTTAAGAAAAATGAAAAGTACATCTATTCATCCAATTAGATATTTAAAGTCCAAAACATTCTTAAACTAAATAAGTAATAGTACTTAGGTGGGTGAACAAGAAACACAAATAGTTGAAGTAAGAAGAAAAAGTAGTTTATTTTTAAAACACTTAACTATTATAAAATATATTTTTCCATTATTAATATTAATAGTAACCCAATCTATAACATTTAAATCCTTAAATAAATTTATCTAAATCGCATAACAAAGAAATTGGAAGGATTCAAAACATTATTTAAACGTGATATTAGAAAAGCAAGAGGAGGCTAGTCAAATTATGGTGCTAATAGCAATGCCATTGTTTAAAAAAAAAAAATTCTTTCCCTAGAGAAATCCATTAAGATTCTTTCCATTATCCAGGAATCCTCTTTGAGAACTCGGAATGTTTTCGTGTTGTAATAGCTTCACAATTTAGTGATGTTTTTAATTTTTCATTGATGTTTTCAATAGTTCACAACACAAATTTGACATGAAATGGAACTAATTGAGATTATATGACTTTGGATTCGTGTTCAGAAAACCTCAAAACATAAAACAATTCTGTTAAGAGAGGATTTTGATGTAGAACAGTGCATTCATTTATTATTCCAATAGACAGCCAATACAGCTCCTTCTGAACTTCTTAAAGAAACCTCTTCGACTAGTAATTTTGGAGTGGGGGAGATCTGAATGAATCTTTTGGTCGAATTTTGGTTGATTATAATTTAATTAGAGTCAGAACTTATAATAATCAATATGATCATTGCCACATAAAGTTTTTTGACAATTCATTAAAACGGATGAATTTCACGAATGGCTTTATTTTGCCCGCATAGGTGCATTTTAAATTTAGGTATATGTAGTCATTAAGTTAAGACGTACGGTAATATATAAATAATTAGGGTGCGGGGTGGCCGAATAGGCTAAAGCGTGTGTAACAGCACCGCTAGTTGCCATGCAACCGGATAACAGAGATTTGAGATGATATAAAAAGTACGAGTTCGCGTCCCGGTGCCGGAGGGGATTTTAAATTTCCCCGCCCTCACCCCCCGGCCCGGGAAAATCCCGTATAGCCTAAAAGGCGAGGTAGGGAAGAACAAAAAAAAAAAATAAATAATTAATCTGATCATATTTTAGTTCTTGTTATCTATTCTTGAAGTGTTTGGATGTAGATAACTCTGAACCATCCGCAAATTGTCAAAGTTATGCAGATATTCGTCTTATCTTTATAAGATGATACAGCTTCTCCAATTTGTTTGCTTTACTCCCCCACGTGACTTCTTATTAAATACTACCTTCTCTTCAGCGTCTGGCTTATTTTTGCATCCTTTGAAACATTTCTTTCAATCTTGTGCTTCCTTGAGATTTCTTTGATGCCTCTACCCTTTTTTTTCGGCTAATTGCTTCACTTGCTCATCCACCACGGCCGTCTTTCCAAGCTTCTGAGAATTTTCCTTTGATCTCATCCCGTGCTGTAACTTTTACAAGCCAAGTTCTCAAGTACCGGTCTCTGTTTCCACATCTAAAGAATGTCCTTTATCTCAGAATATTCACTATGTATTTCATAAGTATTTTTTTATACTTGTTCCATAAGATTTGTGTTTCAAGAAGATTTCAGTTATTTTCGTGTAACATTCATGTAAATAACTTATTGCTACCATAATTTTGACCCAACTCATACAATTTACATTCTTAAACAAACCAGTGAAATTTAACTGCATAATATGTTTATTTACTGCATGATTATAGAAATTGATTTTTTAATTGATTTAGGCAATGTTTTGAGAGTAATATTGATTAAAAATTAATTTATTGAATTGAATGAATCAAAAATATATATATATTTTTAGTTAGATCTTCACATCAACATCTGCCATGAGCAATGACAATTAGCGGGTCTGGTGTCGGTAAGAATACAAGTAGTGGCTTGATCGACGTGGAGGAGAGGAGTGCCCAGCGGCATTCCTTTCTGTCTTGATTTTAAGCTAATTCTAAGCGAGGAAATCTCTTAACCATCTCCTTTTGAGCCTTCTAAGTTTGTTTTCGGACATGTTAAATCTGATCAAAAATATGATTAAGAGAATCGGTACTCTACACCTCTTGTATTATTTTTTTTAAGCTTATTTATTGAAAAATATTACAATCTGTCTCAAGGACATTTATAATAGTGTTCACAGATCACATTCACACTCTATGTACAGTAAATAAAATAAATTATACAGAAAAATAATATATATATATACAATAAATAGGAATAAAATAACCTAAAAATAAATGAATAAAAAGAACACATACATACCTATATACAATAAGACTTGTATTATTAAAGTTAATAATTTCGTTTTAGAGGAATTGTTCAGCTTTTTTTTTTTTAGTTTATTACAGCATTCGACAGCCTTGAGAGTTACCTTTATTTTCGAAGAGAAGAATGGTTCGGGTGATCAGTCAAAAAAAAAGAAAAAGTAAAAATAAATAAGTAAATTACATCAGTAGTTGAATTCCTGGTGAAATTTCGGAGATAAAAATATAATGAATATATAATGGTTTTGAAAACTGATAGTTTTATCTTGATTCATTGCTTTTTATCTTTGATTACAACTTAATTTAGGTCTTTAAAAATTTAAAAGTAGTTAAAAAAACTACAACCAAAAAAAAACTACAGGATGTGTCGGTTATTATTGGCCAAACTCAGGGAGGGAGGGGGGAGATTCTAGACAAAATTTCCAAGAAAAAATTTAATTTTATACATGAGTCGATTCCAAACGAAAAATGAGGTCAGGTCAATTTTGTGTATTTTTAAGGTCACGTTTTTAATTAGATAAGAAGTAATCACTTGAAAACTGGTTATGTTACAGTTGCCGTACTCATACACAAGCAGTATATCTCTGTACAGCGGCCATATTAGACATCCTAAAAGTGTATTTTATTATTGACCTTATTAAATTTAATCGGTTTTATAAAAAAAAAAAATCTACTTTACGACGGTGACACTTATAATTTGATTATTTTGAACAGTTTTGGAGCAATTCTTCTCTTTTAATAAAAAAATGTGGCCACCTTAAAAAAATTAACCTTAATTACTTTTTCATTCGAAAGAGACCCATACATAAAATTAACTATTTTGTTTGAAATTTTGTCTAAAATCGCCCCCTCTCCCTCTCCAGAGTTTGTCCATTAAGAATTGAGACAACCTGTTCATTCCAAATATTCCAATACCTTGTGCACCAAAATCAACATATCGTGTGAGAGATATCGTGAAATATGTATTTGATAGAACAAAATAAGTATTAAAAATAATTTTCATAATAGGGATCGAATCTAGTCTTGTTACTTCTTTGAAACGTCGACATCAGTGTGACT